GTCTAAAAATCTTACTTGTTTTCCGATAGAAATTCATTTCAAAGCCAAGGCAATCTGTGAAATAATTTTTTTTCACATATTATTAGCCGATTTCGGACACACTGTGAAATTAACAGTTATTTTTTTGGAATGCTACATTTTATATAACGACGGTAACATATACAAATATGCGTTCAAAGTATGTTACATTGATAACAAAAATGGGTACTTAAGATTAAGGATTTGAATAATATTAATGCTGTTAAACATCAGAATTTTAAGCAACAGAATTAACATCAGAATTAAGAGGAAATATTAATACATCACGATATTAAATTGTGATCTTTTACATATACCTCGATATTTTCCTAATTTAATTCATTTACATTCTTTTACATCGTTTAATATTTTTTGCTACCCTACAAAATTTATCAACACCTATTGATAATATCTTATTCTGTTATTATGCTTTTTTAATTACCCTCGTAATACAAAATTTGTAGCTCTAAAAAAAGATCACAATTTTATCTTAGTAGTAATATATGGCAATATTATTGTTGCTGATGATATTGATGTAAAAATAGTATTTCACCATGTATGTCACCATTTATGAGGATATTATAACATACGTTATTCTCAAAATAAAATTTCGGCATTGTATTATTATCAAGAGTTTCGATATTATATTATGACCTAGCATTGCTATGATGTTTTTTATAATACCACATTTTTCCATAAAATGCTATTTATTTTATCATAGCATTGACATTTAAAATATCGTTAAGGATGAATACCATTTAATCTTCAATTTATGCTCTCGATATTTTAAAACTTGATCTTTGTTTCGAATGAATTATTTTTGAAACTCTTGTTATGTTTGAAACTCTTGTTTTTTAAAAATAACATGATATTTTGTTCTTAGTGTTTTGAACTGTTAATCTATTGTTTTTATTTTTACTTTTACTTCTTTACCTACTTCTGTTCCACTATTCCTCCAAGAAGGCCTCAAGATGGCTAATTTGTTCAGTTATTTATCAATCAGTCAATTTGAATTCAACGAATATTTTGCTAAATACAATTATTAATAGAGTACGTGTGGTGTTTTTTAGAATTTTATTCAATGGGATCGATTTTCTTTTTCATTATTTGAATTGCGAATTTTGAGTTCTAAGCTCCTTTTTTTTTAATGGAAACGATTAAAATCTTCAAACAATTTCGTTATAGTTTTCATTTATTTGATTTAATATTGACGATTTAATATTAATTTAATAATAATGTAATAAATATTTTAAGGAAAAATTAAAAATTCACCCTTATAATAAATAAGTTATAATGTAACAGCTTTGTTGCATTTTTTAACTCCTACAATTATACTTTATTTTATAATTATCTTTATCAATTCCACTCGCAATTCTACGATACACAAAATTTATAGCTATAATAATGATTAAGATTTTATCTTAGTTGTTAGATATAACAATATTATCGTTATCTATGTGTAATATTATATTAATATACTCGATAATTATCGTATATTGTATTACCACGCAACATTGTATTTTTCTGAAAATTCGATTTTTTTTTCCTCTTTAATGTAAAGAATTTTTAATGAAATTGAATTCTACTTTAACACTCTTAATTTGTCTTTTTGAATCATCAATCACCTAAAACAATTAATTACAAGTAATTAAATATAATAACTTATAATTAATAACTTGTTGTCAATCTAATAACTTGAAAGGAAAATAAATTTACTATGTTATTAAATTTAATTTTCCCATCGTAAATTCTCTTAGTTATTTAGTTACAACCATAAAAGTTTATATTCAGCAAAATTTATGATTGGAATATCAATTATGAAATTATGTTACTCTAAGCAAAAGTTAGGACAAATTTTATAAATTAAAACGATTTAAAAATATGTTACGTCTAATAAAAGAAACAGATAGTGTTGTATTCATTTTTTTAACATCTATTAACATAAACTTCATTTGTTTGGTCTGTTTTTATTAAAAAAAGAGAGAGAGAGACAAATGTTAAACATTTATTACTCTCCAACTGTTTGTTTAATATAATAAACAGTGAAGAATCATAAATCTTTCTTCTGCCTGTAAACAGTACTTGTTTTGTCTAATTCTTAGAAAACTTTAAATATCGTAAAAGCTACCATCTATTTTGAAACATTTCTATTATTTCATCCTCTTACAAAACAATGCGTTATTAATAGCTTTTGTGTTAAGTTATTTCTTAAAGCGGCAAATATACAAAAAATACATAATAATGTTTGATGCAATAGTTCGAAATCGTTTTTATTATTTTATTAATTTTCTTGTTATTCATATAAATAATTTTAAAGAATGTTTGTACTTCTGAAAAAACAGATATTTGGTCACTGAAAGCAAAGATTTGTGATATTTATGATCTTGATATTTATAAGAAATTCACCATTGTATATAATTGATAATTGGAAACAGTTTTTATTGCTGATTTTTTTTTGCTAATTTTTAATTGCTGATTGATTATTGGAAACAGTTTTTATTGCTAATTTTAATCCAAACTCAATATAATTCTTATTACACAAAATGTGACAAAAATAAAGACTACAACTGAAAGAAGACGATTTCACTTTTAAAACATTCATCATACAGTATGGAATCAGAAAGCAAAGAACGAGCCATGAGAGGGCTCATGCTTGATGAAAATATAGAATACCATAAGAACGAATGATAAAGGGCAGAGGATCTTTTTTTAATTGAAAGCTGTACAATAAATGCTAGCTTAAATGACCACCAGGCTTCACATCGATGGTAGAGAGAATCACGTAGACGTTGAAAGATTCCTAGCATTTCACTTAAGGTCATTTCATCGGACCTTTGGTAAAATATATTTGCATTGAAAAGTTCTATCACTTCTGATAATTGTGACTATTATATCTTGTATTAACAGTCTAGTCAAACGTTGTTAGAGAATTAAAACAATCAACTTCGAATTTGTTCGAACTTAAGAGTTATGTGTCTATTATTACACTTAACGAAAATTTTACCATCCTCGCTTACTTACTTCCCAAATCATGTCTGGCAGTGTTTTTCGAAGCTCTTCTGCCAAAAAGAATAATAATTGATTGTCTAAGTGCCTTGAACCTGAAGCAAAGTCATAATTTTAAACAGTGTAAACCAGCTTTCGCAGAGAATTATCTGGGCTTTATAACAGACAAATAACTTACATTATTCTTTTAATTTTTTTCAAAAAAATGGCAATTTGGCAAGATTTTTCAAATTTAAAAGTTTTATGAGCCCAGATAAAACAGCGCTAGAATTGTTGTTTTATTAGTCAAGCTGTTCCAAAGTTATTTTCAATTCATTTGCAAAATCTTCTACAAGAAATAACCTAGCGAAAAAACTGTTTGTAAAAAACTAATTATTTGGTACACTATAGCAGAAATATCTTTTTAAAATTGTCAAATTTAGCTATCACAGCTTTTAAAAGCTAATTATTTTACAAAAAAAGCTTTTTATATGTTTCGCATTTAAAAAGAAATTAAAATAATTAAAAATACTCTAGTAAATTTTAGCTCTTAGCCTACTATAAATTTATCCTAGCACTTTAGTTAAGATAAGTAAGGACTCTATAAGAAACAAGTTAAAAAGTTTAGTTTTGTCAGTTTAGCAGAATATACCTCACAGAAAATTCGCAATGAGGTTGACTTTAGTCAAGTTGTCGTGCCATGAAGAAAGAAGTTGCCATCTACGCAACTTCAGATTTTGCATAAACGTCATTGGGCTAGATCAGCAATCAACGAAAGATATTAAGTTGAAATGCATGTCGTTCATGTAAAGTTCATGTTCAGTACGAAAAGACTGTTTTGAGAAAACATTTGTAAGGAAAGGCACTGAGACTTCCTACAGTATGTGATTTTGTTTCAATAAATACAAAGCCAATTGACGACAGTATAACATTTAATATTTACAGCAATCTATTAGTTAAATGCATAGTTATAAGCATAATTAAATTTAGTTATAAAATGCATCATCAACGTGGAAAAATATATGCATTTAATATATATTCAATGTCGAAACACATCGAACATCATAATTGTAAATAAAGTTACGTTGTCCTATCGGCGCTCAATTTACACTTATAAAAAAATTTTGTTAATTTTTTGTTATAAATGCAATTGAGATTTATAATAAAATATTGATGAGTGTGGTATTATTGACCTTGCACACTTCACTCTTTAAACGCTTGAGGACTCTTTTTTTGCCCCTCTACGTGTCATTGCAATACACTTTGAGTAATTTCAGTATAAACATTTTTGGGGGGAAATTTTCATGTTCATCAATATAATGATGAATATAAAAATATAAATCAGTCAATATTTATGTAACTTTTACTGAACACATGCAACATAAACGCACGCAAGTACGAGCATTTTTATGGTATATGTTTGTATGTTGCTGATGTTTTATTATCCTGAAAATGCTGCGAAAAGTTATTTTGAAAAAAAAATATAAGCTCTAAGTTAAATTAGAGTTATTGCACAATTAGGGTTATGAAAAGAATACGATATCGAGATAATGATCATAAATCTGAACTGATTTTGTAGGATTCCTGTTTGCATAAACCTTATATTTATAAAAAGTTTAAAGAAGAGCTTTTGCTCTGTTAAATTTATTTGGGTAATCATTTCTGATCATCAAAACAAGAAATTTAGAAGCCAAGGAACTCCAAACATTTCACGAAAATAAAAACACGTTACTCTTCCAAGTACCTCTCAGTTTTGAAATATCTCCTTATAATTAGCTATTCCACTGTCTTATTCTTTTAATGGGAACATTTTATTGTACAAATAACATTAAAATCAAATCTTTCGTGAGTTTTCGGAAACAATTTATAAAACCATAGCCACTGCTGAATGTATCGGTTTGCTTCTCCGCTTTAAGTGTTCACAATAAATCTTTTAATATATGTATACATAATGTTGGAAATCCCATGTAAACGAATATTTGTTTATATAATTTCAGGGAATCATCGTCAGCAAGAAAGAATTATTTGGTCTTTTAATAGTGTTTATTGGTTACGTTTTATTGGGAGGACTTGTGTTCATGCTTCTTGAAAGTCCGTTAGAAGAAAAACTAAGAAGAGAAATTGAAGAACTCAGAACTGAATTTGAAGGTGACATACAGTTTAGAATGTATCTATGCATGAGAAAAGAACAATTGAAGGCGTTTTTCAATTTAAAATTAGATCTAATGTCTGTATTTTATTAGTTTTTAGTGTTCTAATAATTTAGAGAACGAAACACAAGATATATGTCTTGCAATCATTTATACAACATTATACATAACAATAATTTATATAACTGCTCATTTAAATCTTCAATATTTCTATTGAAACAATTCACTTTGACTTACAGGTGAAATAAACAATGAAATTTTTTCTGTTCTATTTTTAAAATTTTTGGAATCAACCAAATATACTGAATTTCTAAACACTAAACTTTTTCGTGCTTTCTTACGAATTAACACAACCATTTTTCCCCAAACCAAAAAATCAATTTCCTCCGTTAAACCATTACCAATCCACTGCTTTCTATGTGATTATTATAGTCCACTCATTATTAATCCCCTGAGTATAACTATATAATAACCAGCCAATTATTAGAAAGCAAAATTTTGCTTTTGGCTGTAACATATGCAGAAATAGCTAAATTTAAGTAGCATCAATTACATAGGTAGGTGATCGAGATTATGGGCATAATTCTTATTTAAATAACATTAATGCTGCACTGAAAGAAAGTATGGTCCAAACAGCCTGAATGTAGTAAAATTTATCGTTTTTCTAGTTCTATGGAAGCATCAAAAAACTCACTAATTTTTACCGACGTGCTTCAGAAATGATTTTGGTTAAATTAAGAATAAAATTGGTGGGATAACATTTTCTGTGATAAAATAATCTGTGATAAAATTTTGTAAATGTGGTTAAATTTGTCAATTTTTCATGATACCTTAGATATTAAAAATATAAAAAATGTGATATAAAAATTTTTAATCTGTTAAATTCCTTTTCAGTTTTGTAATTTTTACTAAATATGTGATAATAAGAACTATAATTTTGAAAACCAGAATTTTCTGTTAACTGTTACGCCAAGATGAATTATCAAATGAATAGTTTTAATATAGCACATTTTGGGTTTTATTACCAAAATTATGTTGTTTTTTCCCAGAGATGTCATTACCATAGCTGTCATTGTTGTTGTAGTTGTAGTTAATTCACTTCGCACTAGTGCTGCACAATAAGCTATTAACGACAATCTGGGAAACATTCCTGATAATGATAGGACAGTACCATAGAGTACGGTAATTTTACCAGATTTTTTCTTGCTCGAGTGCCAGCTTTTCTCGAAATTTTTGATCTGTTGCTCTTGCTCTCCAATTCAAGCCTTCTGCTCTTATTTCACTTGACCTTTCTTCAGGTGGTTTTTCTAATCGTTTAAGATTGCAATTACTGCAGTTCAAGGCAAGTACAGTAATTGCCAATTCTTTGGAATAGTCCAAAGGGTTATTTTAAACGTTTAATTCTCGTGGGGATATCGAAAATCTTTATTTACTATCGTATCTGTCTCTCCTTCGTCCTTATTTTTAGCTATACCGGGTACACGTCTTTCTATACTTCTTTCTATTGTTTTAAGTCTTCGTATGGATCGGTTGGTTAGAGTCCAATTCTTTGTTGCTCAAGTAAGTGTTCCGAATTCTGGAATTATGATGACTTAATCACCAAGTTCTTCCCTCCGCAACAGTAATAAACTATTTTGAATGATTTTTCAATTTTTTTTTCCTATTTCAGCTTCAATTTCAAAGTTTTTTTTTTATCATTATTTTAACTGGGAAAATATTAAAGATTCTAAGTTTCTATTTGAAAAAAATATTTTGTTGTGGAGAGGCATGCAATAAACTTGTTACAATTTTGCCCTGCGAATTTGCATATGATATTCTTCTCTTAGCCTCATTTCATAAAACAGAGAAAAGCTTGTTTATTTTTTATTTTATTACCGGTGCTTAACAGCCGATCCAATTCTGAGTGGACTATCAATGTCCAAAACCTTAACCTCGTAAATTTGAACCCAACCTAGAAGACAACTGAAATCCTGAATCAAGCTTTGGGTTAAACTAGCCTACATCGAGGACCTTTTGATGAAACTAACCTTCATATACATTACATGGAACAGAAATGGTCATGCGCTACTCCCACGTTAAGCGCGACGGCAAGGGGATTCTAACCCATGATTCGTTTACCACCGAGGAAACTTTGCATCAGCTTTGTGGTCAGTGTAATTAGGGAGCAGAATTCATATCCCGACGATCATCATTCAGCACTGGGATTCGAACCCGAGTTCAAATGATTTGGAGGCGAACGCATCCCCTGTGCCAACGCAGCTCAAGCTAGTTTATTGTTGATTAAAATAAACAAAAAGAAAAACGGAAAAAAACTTTTAACACTGCATTAAAGAGTGCCGTGGTAGAGCGATAGAGGTGATAAAGCGTTCGCCTTCCATTAAGGTGAAATAGGTACGAATCCTAACAATGACTGGTTGATACGAATTCCGAAACCGGCTCACACGGACCACAATACTGACTTAAAATATCCTCAGTGGTAGACGGATCATAGGTTAGAGTCCCCTTATCGTCAGCCAAACCGAGGGAGGTTTTTGCGAGTTTTTTCTCCGTGTAGTGCAAAAACGGGTTAGTTTCATCAATAAAGTCCTAAACTGAGGCAGATTTCTCCTAATATTTGATCCAGGAGTTCTATTGTCTTCTGGATTGAGTTCAAAATTACAAGGCTACGGGGTCAAACATTGGTAGTCGTAAATCCGAAATTAGGTCGGCTGTTCAACGACGGTTATAAAATGCATTAAAGAAAATTCCACAAATTTATTAAGGAACGTTGGCACACATAAAACTCTACTAGGTTTAACTATACCAACATAAGACATAACATAAGATAAAAACTCAACCATATTAACTCCTTATAAATTTGAGATATTAACATTATTATATTATATTAGAAATGCATGACTGGAAAAAAAAAAGAAGTTCAAGTTCAAAATTGTCAAAGTTCTATTTTTCGGGCTTTCCCGGACTCCTCTGGGAATCCATAAATACGGAGGCAGAGCGGTAGAAAACCGCTAAATAAACATCAATACATCATATCTTTCCACAAACTACCGCAACCTCACGTGCAAGCGTTATAGCCGTCTGTCTCTTTTAAGATGTCTGCTGAAGATGAGGGACGCTCTCAAAAAGAAAAACATTAACACACGCTTCACAACGTGTAATTCGCAATTATTTAGATTTCTTTTTTTTTTGCGAAGATCTCCTCAATGATTCGACGTGAAATTGTCTAAAAATAGAAGCACGTCACAGTACGTTTCGTTCTGCGTGTCTAGATAACAGCTAATTTCCGGTTAAAAAAGCTTTTTTCGAAAGAAGCTCGTTTTTAGGTGGTTGCTTGATATGTTCTTTGACCCTGAGTTGCTTAAAAGAGTTTTACACACTTTCAACGAAATTAACCCCTGAGATTAGTGTCCCTGAGTACATTTTCGAACACAACCGGATAAACTGATCAAACTACACACTAATAAAATGAAAAATTACGTGTTAAAAATATAGAGAAAAATCTTACTATTTTAGAGATGAACGCCGGATGAATATATCAAATGTACAGCAAGTAAATGTTCAACTTAAATTGAGAAACAAATGAAAAATGTCGTGAATTATTCACTTTTGTGGAATGCTGAGAGTAAAACGTATCCGTACTTGCGTTTAAGGTATGTAAAAACCACACTGAGAAAAAAGAAGTATAGTCTAAACTACCACAATATATTACAATTTATCGTCGTGCTTCATTGTCGGAAACACCAAAAAGCTCGGTAATTTTTACCGAAACACTTTGGTAATGATTTTGGTAAAGTTAACAAAAAATATAGTTTTATAATATATCATAAAATTTGGTATATCTGGTACTTTTATTATCATATCTTAATGCCTCGAATAAAAAACATTTATTCGGTTAAATTTTCATATTTCAGTCATGTATTTTTTACTAAATGTGTGATAATAAGAGCTATAATTTTGATAACCAGAATTTTCGGTAAGCGTTACCCTGAGAACGGAAAAACCACCAAATGAATGGTTTAAGTATAGTATATTTTGGTTTTATAACCAGAACTATTTGTTTGTTTTTTATAAGAAATGTCATTACCGTGTACTATGGTAATTTTATCAAAAAATTTCTCCCTGTTGGAAAGCGTCTCATTGGTAACTCCACCATAATAGTTCTAACCCTTCAACCGTCTTCAAGTTCAAGAGTTATGTTTTATTGCAAAGTATATCATATAATGTATTCTACTAAATGCAAAACGCATCATGTTTGAAAAATCGCATTACTGTGTTTTATGTTAACCTTTTAATCAGATTTGATTTTATTGCTTAGATTTGTTTTTGTTGCTTTTTTACGTAAAAGAAGTCCGTCATATCAAAGTTGATATTTAAAGCTCTCAAATTCCCTATGCATCTATACTTTAAGTTATTTCTTGTAAGTAAACTCTTATCAAGCTTTCTTACACATTTTTTGTCATTATGTAACGTGATTAGAATTTTCACAGCAGTAATGTATCCGTTTGTTCTTTGAATGATTGGATCTATTACTTTTCGAATACCATGATACATTAAAGTGTGAATAGAAAATTAGCTTTAATCGATGCTTTGATTTATAAATTTATGATACTTATGACATAATGCTAAACGAAACTACTGTATAAACTTTGACGCACTCCTTGATAATTTTAAGAATTTTAATGAGAATTTCAGTTTCCAAATGCAATCGAAATAATCAATTTACAAACATGAGCCATCTGGAATCAGCAAAGATTTTTATGTTTTTTATTAAAAAAAATTGATTCAACAACAAATTTTGAATAGAAACAGCAATACCCATTCACATTAATTACTTATCTTATGTGCCTATTACAATCTTCTTTAATCTGTTCAAGTTTTTCCATATCTTAAAATGTTACCAACTAACATTTACACTTATCAACTTATCATTCTCAAATCGCACCACTTACTAATGTGCTTACGAGTGCATCATCATATTAAATTCCTGAAAAAATCAGGTAGTATTGAGTGTGTTTTAAAAATGTAACTTTTTATCTATCAGTTGAATCTTCGGAGTATCTTGTGTGCGATCCTTAATAAAAGTTTAAACTCTTTTTTATATCATTAAATTACTTTGCACTAAAGTCCCGAAATTTAATGACCTAATAGATCCCTGAAAATGCCTTAAAAATGTACTTCTTAAAAATTTGATTTCTCAAAAACCAATCGTTCGACGATGTCGTTCTAATTTTGTATTTTGACATGTAAAATTAAATTCGTTAAAACGATGTAAAAAAATTTTTACCTTACAATTCAAAAATTTTCCGACTATTGTTAAATAAATTAATAAAAGATAAAAAATAATTATCAAAAATTATTTTTTGCGTGAATTAACTTTGCATAAATGAATTTCATAACTGTGTGCGAAAATTTTTCCATTCGTATAAAAAAACTCTCGAGACATAGTGAAATACGTAAAAAGTAAGATTACCAATAAGAGGTCCAAATTTTGCACCGCTTTTTTGACCAAATTAATGGGACCATATTTACCAGATTTCGGCTACCCCTTTTTTGAGAGTCAGAATTCCAAAACAGTCGGAAAAAATGGTATGTTTATGTAGAGAAAGTACACTTTTGTGTATGATTTTCGTAAATTAAAATATGATCTGCTCGAGCTAATTATCATATTTGAAGTCACCTTCTCGAACCATCAAGAGAGCTAATACATGAAGATACGATCATTGGATGAAACGTTTTGCGCACTATACACATAAGTATTACTTAAGTTGGAGAAAAACAAAATATCTATCAAACTCTAACTAATCACTACGGAGAAAAGAGAACCTGAAAACATCAATTATCAGAAGAAACTGAGAATATTTAATATACGATTGTTATAAACACTCATAAGCTTAATTATATATATATATATATATATATAGGGAGGGAGAGAGCCCCCTCCAGAGAAACTTCCGCGATCACTGCCCGTTTCTCGCTTTTG